ACAAACTCTAACCACCAGAGCAAGAAGAGACGTCATTTTGAAGCCAACTAATGATTAGCTAGGCTAATGGAAACAGGTCAATCATTGCTGTAAGCAAACAGAGTACCAGAAATCTGAGCAGCACAGGTAGAGAAAGGAGAGAGCTCCTGAAGGGTGCAGGGAGGCCAGCACAAGCAGCAGTGATGACATGAGAGCCTTTCTTTCTGGAGTTTGTTAGCACATCTCCAAGCAGAACAAATGGCATTTTGTCTGGTGTGCTGGCGGTCATCACACTGCATTTCACACAAAAACCCCAAGTACAATTCAGTGTCTGTTCTGTATAAAAAGTTGTTTTGCTGCACAAATTAACAATCCCCTTTAGATAGTCTCTATTAAAGAGTCTATCCAGAAGGAAGAAAAACAAATATTTAGTTGGTTCTCTTCAGGTTTTTCCCCACCACCCCCACAGAGCCAGCTGGACTTCACAGCCAACATCCTTTGAAATGAAGGTACCTACATGTAGTCCTATTGAGAAAAGCACTTTTTGACCAATTACAGACTTCTTTGTATCAATGAAGTCATTGAGGAAGGGAAACAAATTTCCACAGGCAGTCGCTGGACTTTTAAAAACGAATTTATTTACTTTTAAGTGAAAGCTGGTCAAGCCTCCTTGTAGCAGACAGTATTTTATTCTTCTGACACCACCTCCCAACACACTGATGTCTTTTAGACTAGCTGGCTGACAACTCCAAAAACACCTTGAAGCAGCTCATTTATGAGGAAAGCTGGATTAGCATACTCAGTTGAAAGGAATGCATCCTGGGACAAGAATCCTGTTAAGAAAACCATATTTGTCTTATAAAAAGCTTGTGTCATCATTTGATGTCATCGGGTCTGTCAGTGCCACCATCTCCACAACCTGCCAGCAGCCAAACAAGACCAGGAGGGGTGATGGAGAATTAATCCCTGATCCAGAGAGGCAGTGGCTCAGTCACACACATCTGCAGCTCTGCAATCACAAGGAAGGCATGCTACCTGGCTGACGTCACCCAGCACCTATTAAAAGTATCTTCTGGAAGGTCTGTATGGGATGACACTTAACAGAACCACTGACTTCTGATAAGGATTGTGTAACGTTCACACAGATCACCTGTTGCCCCATGTGTCACTTCTGTGCTCTCGTGCACTTAACCACATACTTCTCATTGTAAAAGGCATTGTATAAGGTATGCTGGAGGTTCGTGAAGTAAGTACCTCATGTTTATGAATAAGTATTTTTGATCACAAGATCAAGTGTAATCATAGCTTAAAAATCACCGCAAACCCCAGTGACATTATACTGTGGGAACACTATATAGTTCACAGACAAAGTCGTGGGGTGACAACTCACTTTTAAGCCTGCATCAATTTTCTTCCTGGTAGAATAATTTTCACTGAGGTTAAGTGCTCTTTCCCATATTTTTTCTTCACCTTCCATGGCAGAGCAGGCCTATAATCTGAGATCTCCTCACCTCATGTGTTCAGCACTGGGGCAGGCAGCTCTACCACCACACCACCGCGCTCGGCAGCATACTGAGTTGTTCATATAAGCCATGCAGAGGTAGTAATTCCACCAGCTCTTTCAATTCAATCACTTGCAAACTCCCTCAACAGAGGCAGCATTTCTGCGTTTTACGTTGGCGCTATGATTTTGAGGGCTGCTCATTGCTCTCCTCAGTTGGGAGGTTCAGCACCATCAAATACAACCCTCTTGAATTGCAGCAAGGGAACAAAACAAAGCAAAACCCACTTCATAATAAAAAACCAAAGGGATATCAGTCTCTGGGTAAAGCAGAGGGACAAAAGGAAATCTTGGGGAATGCTGCGATTCTCTGATCCTCAAAACGAGCACGCAACTGCTCTCGACTCCCAGCCGGTGACATCAGTCACCCCGGGGCAGAACAGGGAGAACGCCAACGTGAGGAAGCACGGAACTCAGCGAGGCGTTGCAAGCAGGTAACCGACCGCGAGGGCCGATTTTAAAGCGGCTCAGCGAGATCTCCCTCGGCTCCTTCCTTCCTCTTTACGCCGAGATTCCCGGAGCCCTACAGCTGTTCCCGGCATCGGAACAAGGACCGCGCTCGGGCGAGCAAAGCCCGAGCGCGTTCCCCGCAGCAGGAGGTCACCCTGGCGGCCTCTCCATGCCTTCACCAACAGCCCAGAAGGGGCCCCTCGCCCCGGCCCTCCTCCCCTCCCGGCCCGCACCGCCGCACCCCGCGGTTCCCGCACAGGGAGGGCCGCGCCGACCTTCCCCGCCCGCAGCTCCGGCCCGCCCGCAGCGCGAGGCGCCCCGGCCCGCCCTCCCCTCAGCAGGGCCGCGGCCCCCGCCCCGCTCCCCGGCCGCCCCGCGCTCTCCTCGGCGCCGCCCCCGCCCTTGCCTCAGGGTCGTGCGGAGCCCTGAGAGCCGCGGCCCGCTCCCTCCCGCTCCCCGCCCGCCCGCAGAACTCCCGGCCGCGCCTCGTCCCCCACCCCGACCGCGGACTCACCTCTCCCGGCCACCGCCGCCGCTGTTGGTGCTGCCGGGGCCAGCGCGCCTCCTTCCCCACGCCGCCATCTTGGAGACACTGGGCTCGCAAATGTCTCCGCCGCAGGGCCCGCCGCGCTGCCCCACGGGAAATGGAGTGCGCGCGGCCGCCGGAACCGCTCAGCGAGAGAGGGCGCGCCTACGCGCGGACTACAACTCCCACAGTGCCCCGCGCCGCCGCACGGCCGCGGAGGTCTCTGGGATGCGTAGTCCCTTGTGCGTGCGGAGGGGTCGGGCTGGGAGCCGCCCGGCATTCGCGCGGATCCGCGGAGCGCAGAGCAGCACCACGACCGTCGGCCGACTCCTGATCGCAACCCCCTGTGCTGACGGGAGCCATGAGGCAGTGGGAGGAGCGTCGCTACTGAGTCCCGGCCTGCACCGCGGCCCCGCCATGAGGGCAGCCGCAGGGGGGCGGCTTCGCAGTGGGGGCCTCGCTGTCCTCGCACTGCGGGGATAAGGAGAGGAGAGCGGGTGATGCGGCGCAGCACTGCCGGCTTTGCCCGAGGGGAGCTGCTATGCCTGGGCCCCAGGAGCTGCGTGGTGGCCTTCATGGCCTTCACCCGCTTATCTGGGGCCTCTTTGTGGTCCTGGTGTTGCCCTTCAGGAGCCTTTCTTCCAGAAATTGAAAAAACCAGCCGTTCTGTCAGGGACGTTGTGCTGCCATCAGTGAGAATCAAGAAGCATGAGCAGCCCTCCTCCAGCCCCAGCGCCCACCCTGCGCCATTCCCCATTCATTTCCAACATCCTACTCACTGCTTTTTCCCCAGGAGCCACCAAACCTCTGAGAAGAACGAGGAGGGAACATATCAGTGGGGCTGTGTGCGTTCAGTGACTGACAGCCTGCTTCAGAAGAGTGACATTGGCTCTGCATCTCCCTTTCCTAGAAAATGCCTCATTCTGACAACATTATTTCCAAGTGAGGTAATGTAACTAAATAGAGCAAACCCATCACTGCCTACATCTTCCCAGGCACTATGAAGCCATGCTTCCAGACTGCAGGGCCATCTTGCACTCTGCACTCTTAGCCATCATTTGGGATTCGGCTTTTGCAGTGGAGGTAAATAGCGCATTTGCATGAGCAGGAGGTGGTTGGGAAACGTTCCCAGTGCAGTGGAGCGTGCAGTGTTGCTGGGGCAGGTCGGAGCATCAGACCTTCTGGAATGTGGAATGTAAACAGAGTGTGTTACTAGCAACAGCCCAGCTTTGTGCTATAACCCCAACTACTGCACTGTCCCTGTTGAGGACTTAATGCCAAGGTCCCTCCTGCTCAAATTGCAACCCAAGGCCACGTGTCACTTGTTGTATTGGGTCAAATCATGACTGAAAAAAGCAGTGCCCCTTCTGCCCACCATTCCAGTAGCCTTGGGATTTTCAGCTTTTGCAATTCCAGTCTTGGCCTCTGTGGCTTGCACCCATCTGTAGGAAGATATGTAAATACACTGGCAGGGGGCCCGAGGGGCAGTGCTGGAGCTGCGCTTCCCAGCTAAAGGAGGGCCCAGCAGGGAAGGACCTCTGATTCACCTGCCCTGCTCTGCACGAGCAGAGTGACTCCACTAACTGGCTATTGAAATGTTTTCATGCCTATGTTTTCAAACATCTTAAACAGATGAATGCAAGCGTTCTGTGCCAGCTCAGGAGAGGCTGCATTTGCAGGATTGCTGCCGAGGGCTGTTTGACCTGAAATCTCAAGGACTGGTTTCTGTGAGCAGGGGAGGATCAAGCAGCAAAAGTGAGGAGCCGGTTGTGACCCCACTCATCCCAAGCTCTGTGCAGTCATTGCAGAGACAGCCAGCCAGCCCTCAGACCCAAAATGAAATCCACCAGCCTCAGCCTCCCTGCTCAATACCAGCTCTGAGCTAGGCTGTGAGGAAGCTGCAGTCACCTGGATGGTGGATGAAAGGACAAGTGGCTGCCCCCAGATTGCAGGGAACCAACACCAGGATGCCTTCATCCTGAACAGAGCCCTTCATCATTCTCACTACCTGGATGCAGTCACTTCTGCACAAGATCCTCCTTGCAAGGAAGGGGTTTTGGAAAGGAAGCTCAAGCAGTAGAAAGGTGACTGTTGTATAGACCAGTGTACACAGCAGTGAGTCCCCCCGTCTTCCCCTCAAAATCTGCTGCCTCCAGCCTTTTTTTCCCCACACCCTTTCCAAAGCATCAATGCACATGGTAGTTAATGGCTAGAAGATTTTGGAGTTAGAATTGTAAGATTTGTTTTCTTTGGGGTGGAGGGATACGAAAGATTGTTTTACTTTTCTAGAAAACAAATAACCAGCAGCAGCAAGGCAGCAAAAGTGACCCTGGATGTGGACTGGAAAGAAGAGCTGTCAGACAAGACCTGTGAAGCAGGCTCTGGCTGAGTGACCCAACCCAGATGACAGAGCCAGGGATGCCCAAGGTTCCCCTGATCACCTCCAGCCCAGCAAGTGCTGAACAGCAACCACTGCAGCTCAGCTAAGCCACACTTTTTATTGTAATCCATGCAATATGTTTGTGTTTTATAGTATGACAGAGGAAAGGATAAAGATAAATGTTAGACATAAACAAAAGCAAAAAGGTCATTTGTAACAGGTCCTGAGAAGGAAAGGCACATCGTAACCACTGAATTCAACAGAATGGAAACCTTGGACAGAGGAAGACAATTCTGGAAAGTGGAGAAGGGAGGGGGGTGTTTCAAGTTGGGCAATATGGAAGCAGGTTTGACAGCAATACGTATTTCCCCACCCACTGAAGTCTGCAGTTCAAATGTGTTTGGGGACCTCACTGTTCAACCAAACCACTTCCACGCTGCCATTGCTGGAGAGAGTCCAGGATGCCCATTCCTCCAGGCTCAGTCAGCACCAAGGGGCAGCCCAGGGCTCAGAAAGATCCTTCCTGCAGGGGTGAGCCGGGAGTGCTTCATGGGAGAACAAGGGATGGCAGCATTGCTGGTGACCTGTGGGTATTGCTATTTGCTGACATCAAACGCTGTGGGGCTGGGACAGGAGAACGGGTACAGCAGAAAAACAGTTGGCACAGAACCTGGCACATCTCTGTCAGGTCAGACACTGGAGGAATTGTAGCACCTCAGAGGGAAGCAGCAGCAAAACCAAGTGCTGTGCCTGATTTAAGGCAGCGATTGCTGCTTGTGATCCAGCACCAGGAAGCACAGGGATCCTGGAGCAGCATGAACGGCTCCATGCCACGCTGGGAAGCTGAAACTTCTGGGAACTGCCACAGTGGGAACCAGAACCAAATCAGCATTGAGTGCAGCACTGCACTTGCACTGCTGCTCCTAGGAGGCAACTAGGCACAGATCTCTTCAAGCACACAGCCCTGCTGCAGCAGATACAATGGCATCTTATCGTGGCTTGCAGGAGATGGCTCAGCTTCACTTTAGGATGGTTCTGTCATCACTTAGCTATAGCAGAGCCAGCCTTGCTCCTGGAACCAGGCGTAAGTGGGTATTTGCAAGTTAAAGAGTGAGCATTTAGCAGCCAAGATGTCTTCTTTAGCTCATTATCTGTACCCTATCCCAGTCCGCCAAAGCCATCCCAAAGGCTGCAGCTGGGCTGAAATAGGCAGCAAGAGCAGAGATGTGGGGTAGGCTGAACCCAGTGCCTTTCCTGAGCAGCATGAGCTGGCAGTGGGGCAGCAACCAGGCACAGGTCTCTGCCACAGTGTGCAGTACAGACAAGCAGGGGTCCCACAGCACTGGGGCAGGGACACAGCTCAAGAGGTTTTACTGAGATCTTTTGCCGTTGCCTCTATGGACTCTGCGCTGGCTCTGGGAAAGGGCTGAGCCATTGCTCGGCCCAGGATTCATTCAGTCTGTGGCACAGATTGTAAACTTTAGTCCCTGCTGAGAGATAAACTAGGTTTGGATCTGACCTCAAGGTGAAAGGCTCCTTATCTACTTCTGCCTGGCTGCTTGCTGAGCCTATTACAGCTGTCCCCATGCAGCCCAGCCCAGGGCACTGCAAAATCCCAACAGCTCTGGGGGAAAACCTCTGAAGGTCTAGCCCAGTAAAGCCTGTGTGAGGCAGGAGAAGGGGTAAACAGAAGCCAGGCAGCATCCTGCCATCACACTATTACCTCTACGTCTGACAGTAGCAATGCTGCACCATGCTGTGCTGTCATCTGCAGAGGTAATGGTACATGGTGAGGGTGTTCCATCCCACTGCCAGCACTCAGGCTCAGAGCTGCAAGGGGGTAGCGAGCAAGCAGGCAGTGCCCTATGGCACAGCTGCTTCCCAAAGGCCATAGGGAACAGTGAATAGCAGCCATGCCAAGTTGGCAGATCAAGCATTGAGCCCTGGAGAGGGGACCAGATCCCAGCAGTCTTACCCCTGTTGCTCTCAGGATACGACGATGGCTTGGAGCTCAGGGTATGGGGCACAGGCTGAGTGCAGGGCTGGAGCCGAGGGAGATGGGAGGAGCCTTCCTCTTCAGCTGTAGGAAGCCACCCTTGTGGGTGCTTTTCTCCTGGGCAAGCTGTGACTGCTGCAGCAGGGAGCAGAAGGGCAGCTGACAACCATGAGGGGCAACGTCTAGAAGGCTGAGCAGGAGCTGGCACCTGCGGAGAGCAGCATCCACAACCCAGCTGCACTGCATCCTCTTTGTGCACATGCTCTGCATGCTCTGCTGCAGTGGAAAAACCCACTCCTCACACAGCTCCTTTCTCCAGATACAGAGATCTCAGCATCCCAGTCAGATCTCTGCAGCCAGTCCTGGTGGCACCACCACAGCCTCCATGGTCTCACTGGCACCCCACAGAGCTGGGGCTCCTCCAGCACCTCCTTCTGGTCCTTGAGGTTTAATCCACAGCATCTCTCCCAGCTGCAGGAAGGAAGGGGGTTGATACCTTACAACCTCCCCTAACCAACATCACCTGGCAAGCTCACAACTGTTGCCAAGCAGAGGAGAGAGGATGAGGTACAGATGCATCCCCTGGTTTTGTCGTGGAGTTCAGTGGGAAAAATCATCCTCTTCCAGCTCCTGGCTTGGGGCAAAGGATGCTGAGGGGGCACATGTGCCCAGAGCCAGCCCAGCCTGTGGCCACTGTCATGCTCAGACATGGGCAGGGAAGAGAAGGTCATGCCCACGATCGTGCACCACACAGACACACTTTAAAAAAAAAAAAAAAAAAAAAAGGGAATTGTGAGTGTGGGAGGGGGTTTCCTGAGACCGCAGAGAAGCGAAGGCCGCGTTGAACAGGAGCGCTGGTGTCAGAGCAGAGCTGTCTTAAGGCTGCAAGTGTTCCAGGTACTGCGGCAGCGGGTTCTCCTTGACGTATTTCTGAATGTACCAGCAAGTCAGGTGAGCTTTCAGGTCCTCCTCCACCACAAAGTCCAGGGCTGCCTATGAGAGAGCACAGATGAGTTACAAACAGCCCATGCTGCCCCTCAAACAGAATCCTGTGCCAGAGGGCTGGGGGAGCATGGCTTCGGCCTCCACAGTGCCATGGGGTTCACAGTTCAAGCAGAGGAAAGCTGAGACCTTGACATACAGCCTGGTGTGTGCAACATCACAAAAGGGACCCATCCACATCATGCAAATGTCACCTTTGACACCAGTTTGCCATGGGGTCAAGGAGCAGCCATAACCCCAGAGTGTTGCCCCTCATTGCCCCCCACACTGTGCTGGCAGCCCCACAGCTGCGAGTCCCCAAAGTGGGGCCCAAGGCAGAGAAAGGACACATGTGGGCCTTGAAGCTTTGGGACGAGGGAATCCAGCTTGGGGGAGATGTTGGAACAGCCCTAAGGGGAAGCAGGGTGGGAGTAAGGGCTGCTGGCAGGGGAGGAGGAATGAGCAGAGGATGTGCTGGAACTCACCCAGCCCCTCTTGCAGCCAGAAATAGGAACATCTGACCACAGGTTTCCATCCAGCCCTCCAGCCCTGGGGGGGGGGAAGGCTTAACACCTCCCTTTCGAGTGCTGAGCCACCCCAAAATGCTCTCCTTTTACTCCAGGGCCTCACTTAACCTCCCCACACCTCTCCCTGCTATTGGATAGAAGCAGCTCCCCCAGGGGCAGCAGCTGTACCTTTGCAAGATGCTTGGCTATCCCTCTTCCCCGATAGGCATCCGGCACCTCGGTGTGCTGCAAGTCCACAATGCGCTTCCCCACGTATTCATAGAGCAGCACTGCTCGGTCGTGGCAACCTGGGGATGGGAGAGAGAGCTGAAGTTGGGACTGCCAAATCTGATCAGGGATCACCGGTTCCTTTCCCTCTACAGCATGGGCCACAACGTGGGACAAAGCTTCCAGCTCTGGTTTTGCATTTGGGACCTTTAAGGAGTGGGGGGGAGACACTGGAGCAGATGGGTATCCCATAGGGAAGCACACACAGGTGTGCAGAGTTGTGTGTGTGCACACTGACACACACACGTTTCCTGTTGCAACACCCTGACATTCTCACAGTTTAGATAGGTATAGATAGAGGAAGAAAGAAGTTTCAGCACACATGTAAATCAGAGGAGAGCTAATAATACCCCTCTGTCTCCATCTGCAGAGCCCAAACTCAAATTTGATTCATTTCTGGAGGGTTTCTGTATTTATATTTCCAAAACACAAGCTTCCAATCGATGAGAAACTCAATTAAAATAACAGAAACTTTTCCTTTCCCCCCAGTGCTTACTGGAGGATGAAGGGCCCTACCTTCACCTGCACTTACTGCACACCTCAGCTGAGCTCCATCCATTCACTTTTACTGCATTTCACTGGAAATACCTCCTTATGCCCTCTCTGTCCTGACATAGGGATTTGGAGGGAACCTCCACCCCACCGCCCAGCCCAGATGCAATCTTACACATCATTCCATAGCTGCAAACCTCGGCAGGGAAAAAAGGGAACTGTGCAAAGCCAGTCCCTGGGAGGGAGTTCTCAGGGCAGGATGGCACAGCAGCTATCCCAAGGAACCGTCCCCAGGCACACAGGCAGCCCTGCGGGCTGTGTGGCACATTCCTACAGACAGAAAGCACCGCATGCAGCTGAGTGGAGATGGCACAGCTGTCCCCGATGGCCCCACTCTGGAGCAGCACGGGGGGGCCCAGCTCGGCTGCAATTTCCTGCTGAGGAGCTCTAGTGACTGTAGCACTGGGAAAGCACAGTGCCATCTCAGTGCACAGCACCACCTCATCTCTTTCACCCCAGCACTGCAGCACAACCTGCTCCAGTTTTCCCATGGAAACTCTCAGTGATGCTCTCCAGCAAAGGGGCTGTGTTGGCTGTCTGTGGTGTTACCTACAGCCAAACTGAGGACAAATCATGACCTCCAAGATCACCATCTAGTCCAACCTGCCACCAGCACTGCCCACCAACCACGTCCCTCAGTGCCACATCCACATGCTTCTCAAACACCTCTAGGGATGCTGACCCCACCACTCCCTGGGCAGCAGATCCAGTGCCCAACCCCTCTTTCTCAGAATAAATGCTTCCTCCTATCCAACCTGAACCTCCTCTGGCACAATTTGAGGCCATTCCCTCTCATCCTATCCCATCGGGCTTCTCTCTGCCCTCCTTTCCAAGAGGAGAACAAAGCTTGGTCAGTCCAGCCACGAGCTGCTTTACTTCCATCTCTCAATGCTTCTGCTTTCGGGACACAAGGAAAAAGGCAACATGCTGATGTGACACAGGCGTTTCTATCAGCTTTAGGAAGCACACATAGCACTGTGGGCTCAGTGGAGAGAGATGAAGGGGCAAACACCAAGCACCACTCATTTTCTCCCATACAAGGAAGGCAGAGAAGAAGATTCTGAACATGAGCTGGCTGCCCTATCAGCTCAGGCTTCCCAGGGTCCACCCGTGGCCTTGGGCACCTCCAGGGATGGGCACCCACTGCTCTGTGAGCAGCGCCAGCTCCTCACCGCCCTCTGAGTGAAGAATTTCCTTTCCCTAATGTCCTATTTTGTCCCACCCATGTTCCCATAGCACTGGCTGCCCTCGTTTGATCCCAGCGCTGGCCGCAAGTGGTCAGGGGGAGCATCTTCTCCACGTACACCTCCTCCCGCTGCACTTTGTAATTAGTGGTTGGAATTAAAAGAGAAGAAGAAGAAAAAAAAAAAAAAAACCAACACAAAAACAGCCAAAATAACCTCGTCCGGCTGCTGGTGTTTATGGAAAACACCTCCAGACGTGTGCATAATTTCTGAATGATTTCTTTTCTCCTCAGTTGTTTAAAGAGAGCTGCCCGGCACGCAGGCATGGGGTCCCGGTGCTGTCCGTAGGGAGGACGGACGGCTGAAAGGTGTCACGGGGCCATAGGGAGGTGTCAGCAGCACGCAGCTGGGCGTCCCTTCTGCTGACCGCTGGGGGAGCTGCCGGAGATGCCCACTCCTCCCCCGCGGTGACCCACATCGAACCACGGGCAGGGAACCGGTGAGGGCCCCAGGATCGATTTGGGGGTACAGGAACGCCAGGGGGCACTGTCAGGAGCTGAGGGAAGGCGAGAAGAGCCCCGAAAGGCACGGGAGGAGAGGGCTGAGGAGAGCGGGGAGAGGAACCGTGGGAGCGGGGGGGCTGTGCTTGCCGCTCCCCCCTCCGTTACCGTTCAGCCGCACGGTGAACTGCCGCCGCTTCCGATCGTGTTCCACCTGGATGGGGCAGCCCTGCTCCAGGAGGCCGAGCGGCGCCGAGTGAGCCATGGCCGGGCCGCGGGGCTGTGCTGTGCGGGAGTGCGGAGCCGCGGGACACCGGGAGGAGAAGGCGGCGGGCGGAGCCGAGCCGGGCCGGGCCGTGGCGGCGGCACCGGGAGCTGCCACCGGCGCGCGGCCGCAGGAAGCCAGCTGTGCGCCACGTGCCCGCGTCGCAGCCAATGGCTGCGCTGCCGTTTTGTTTTGATACATTCGCCCGGCTCTTAAAGGGGCCGCTCCACGCTAAGCGCTACGCCGGGCCCCGGCGCCCCCGCGTGGGCGGTGCGGTCGCGGACAGCGTTGGGTGTCGGTTGTACTGCCCCGTCGGTGGTACTGCCCCGTGCCGCCCTCTGCCACAGGCACATAAGGAGCGGTTTGAAAGCGGTTGTGTGAAGCGCTCGCTGGCAATCTCTGCAGTCCCAAGCGTGTGCCGTTGCTCGTCCCAAACCCCCTCCCATCGTTGGAGCCCAAACCCCAGGGCTGCTTCTCAGATTGGGATGGCACAAAGCCGGGAAGGCCCATCCGGTTCCCACCTCCGTGACACGGGCAGTGCGTCACCGCCCGCAGCCCGAACGTGGGCTTTGGGAACGCTTCTAGGCTGTGCTGAAAGGCGGTGAATCTGCCACGTCTCTCATTAAGGTAATTACTCCCACTATTAACAACCGTGATTTATTTCCCATTTGAACCTTTCTAGCTTTAACTTCCAGCTGCTGGATGTTAACACTGTCACTGGGTCCAGCCCTGGCATAGGTGCAGACCCATATTTCCTATCCATATTTCAGACACGTTTTCCAGCTCTCAAACCGATAAAAAAAATGCTCTGCACAGCCTGGCTTGGAACTGCACGTGACTGCGCGAGGGCTGCGTTCGGTTCCACCCCCTCTTTCATGGCTATTTGGCTCGTGTTGGGAATTTCTGCCAGAAAAGATTGCTTCCTATAGAGCAGATCTCAGGAATGCTGCTGGGATAGGTCAGGGCTGGCTCATGGGAGACCCCAGGAGTGGGATCCCATGGGAATGAGATGGCATCACGACACCTGTGCAGGGTGACGTGGCTGCTATGGGTCCCCCCTTACATCAGTCCTGCTGGAAGCACATGCCCAGGCAGGTGAGCCTGATGCATGCAGAGACAGATAGTTGGGGGATTTTCCAAAGGGGCTGTGGAGGTTCCTGGCTGCCCCACACCTCTGATGCTGGAGTCCAGCGTCTGCAAAGCAGCACATGGGTATTGGTCAGCATCCTGCAGCACGACGCAGGATGTTACGAACTACAGCTTCTCCTTCGAGGCGGAGGGTGCTGCTTGCACCTGCCCTGGCTGCTCCCAGCAGGCTCCCGTCTCCTGCACTTGCATGGAGGTAACTGGGAGCTGAGGGAGCAAAAGGGAGTCCAGGTTCCCTTGGCATTGGATGATGTGCCCATGCGAGTAAAGTCCCAAGCAGCGCAGTGGGTTTCCTAAACGGAAAGGAAAGATATGAGAGGGTCCCGTGTTGTAGGGGTGCTGCTGGCCCCGCTGGGCTCACCCCGCCCGCAGGGCAGTTCCCTTTTTGCCCGCCCTACTCACTCAATCCTCTCCACCTTGCCCGACAACCAGAAAATTCCCCTCGCGGAGGCGGGCAGGGCGGTAGACCCACCCTCTCTCCCATTCTACCCAATCACTGCGGCTTTTCCTCCGCGAGGGGGCGTGGCTAAGCCCGATAGGCCCCGCCCCTTCGCTGTTCTTCCCCCGCCGCCGCCGCGCAGCGTAGGATCACGCCGGGAATCGTGCTGCGCCCTAGTGCTGCGGGGCCGCCGCCAGTCATGTCTGTGCCCAGAGGTAAGAACGGGGCCGCGGGGAGGGCCGGTGGGGTGCGCAGGGCTGCAGGCTGGGCCTCCGTGTGGTTCTTTGCGGGTGCCGTGCTCCGCGCCTGCAGCCCACGCTGTGTCCTAAGGGGCTCGGCGCCGCGGGGCTGGAAGCGGCAGAGAGCGGTGCCTGGCGTGCAGCATCCCCGTCCCGTGCGTGGCACCCGCGGGGAGGGCACGGGTGGGCTTAAATCCCCCTCTGCTGACCGTGGCCGTGTGCGGCGTTCCGGCAGCTCGGCGGTGTCCCGGTGATACTCGGGCGGTGGCTGCTCGCTGCCCCCAGGTGAGCCCTGAGCGGGAGGGTGCGGGGGGGATCTGTCTGGTGCCGGGTGGGGGACGCGCGGGGCGGACTCGCTGGGCGGGACGTGCTCGCTTATCACCGGAATGAAATGCGGGGGGTTTTCCTCGCTGGGGAGCGATGCCCTGGAAAGTCGCGGTCAGGCACCATGTGAGCAATGAACGCACCTCGGCGTGACTGCTTTTTTTTTTTTCTTTTTTTTTCTCCTCCCCCTCCCCCAAAATGACGCGTGTTTAACGGAGGGGATGTTGGCCTGGGTTTTCCGTTTGGTGTGTTAGGGGGGGGGGGGAGGTGAATCAGCAGCGATTTACGGCGCTGCGAGCGGAGCTGCTGACTCACGGCTGCGGGCAGTGCCCGCTGCGGGGCCGCTCAAAAGGCGCTCGGGAGCGCGCCCGGCCCGCACCTCTCCGGGAGCGCGCGTGGATGGAGGGCCGAGGTGAGCGCTGCGGGATGCGCAACGCACCGCGGTTGGGTCGTTTGTTTTCCGGAGCCGCTCCGTCCGTGGGATTATCGCTGCCTTTTGCTTCTGCCTTTGCTATTCGTTGCCCCGCAGACGGTTTGTTGGCTGCTTTCTAGGGGTGCTGGTGGGATGGCTGTGGGTATCTGTAGCCCGGAGCGTGACCCGCTGCCTTTTGGTGCTTTTGGGGTCATGCCGCTTTGCGTTCCGTGCTCGGGTTAAAAGGGTAACGAATGGGGAACGCTGTCCGCCGCTCTCGGGTCGGATCCTTCCGCCCCAAACCTCGCTGCCGTCATTCGGGTGTAGTCACGGGGCCGCCTGCTGCCTCCGGAGTGTTTGGGGCTGCGCGTGGCCGCCCGTGACACGCGTGATAGGAATGGTGCCGGGCGGGAGCAATCCTCGCGCTAAACATAGCTGCTGAGATAAACACCTTGTGGGGATTACGCAGGGCTTAGTGCCAGCATTTCTGCTCTCTTCCTCTTCCCACTGCCCGGATCTGATCCCTCGCGGGGAGAGAGGTGTGTGGGAAAGGGATGTGAGATAACGTGGAATGCCGAGCAGCAGGGCTGGGGTTTGCTCCGATGTGCCCAGGCTCTCCCAGCTGTCCCACGTCAGCAGCGCAGCCTCGGGTGGTGTTTTAGGAGCTGTGTGGTCCTTTGGGGTCAGTCGGGTTCTCTGCTTTCTGGTCTGATTTTGTGGCTGGGGGGCGGTGTGGGGTTTTGGCCCCGTAGCTTTGCTGTTACTATGCTGATATGGGCAGACTGCTTGCTGGAGGGGCATGGAATGGGATCTGTTCTCTGGGGGAGGTTTTAATCCACCAACCAGAAGTTTGGGGTTTTACCAGCCTGACTCAGTGCTGCTTGTGGGTATGCGTGGGGCTTGGTGCAGTTGGAGGCTGAGCCAGAGGTTCTGGAGTGCAAAAATGGCTTTTTTTTTTTTTTTTTTTTTTTTTTTTTTTTAAATGGAAACTGGAAGTTCCTATTCTTTTTCCTACTCTTTCCTTTTTATCTGTAGCTCCAAGGAATGTCCAGCGAAAGGGCACAGCTGCTGGTACTTCTCTCCCCCAAGGAACATGCCAACAATTGGGCACAGCTGTAGGTGCCACCCCAGCACCTTGCTGGCCTTGTTTGGCAGTGGATCCTGGGCTCTGCTGCCCTGTCCCCAGCGGGGATGGGGGTTTGTGGAGCAGAGGTGGGGGTTTGTTGCCCAGCAGTGCAGGCAGACCCCCTCTCACAGCTCAGATGCGACATCAAGGCTGCATGTCTCTCTGTGGGGTGAGCTGTAGTGTCTTCGTTACATCCTTATTGCAGGAGCGGATGGATGGACATCACTTTGGTCATTGTTGTAGGGATTGCCCTTGTGTGCTGCTGGTTTAGGGGAATGCTGTGATGGTGAGCATTGTGCTGGCTGCAGGCAGCTGGAGGTTGGAGTGCTGCTTCTAGGGATTGCTGCAGCAGCCCCACAGCTTTGAGATGAGCGGGGCCAGGGCTGTCCAACAAGACACCTGAACTTGGTTTTAAGGGCTGGGGTTGGATTTCTCCAAAGAAGGAATGTGTGACCTTGGGTGCGTGTGATGATGTCCCCACATCCCTGGTCTCTCTGCTCTGTGGTTTTGTGACTCCTCATAGCAGAGCAGCTGGCAGCAGCTGGCTGTCACTGTCACTGCTGGGGGGAGATGAGATGGGGGGATCTGTCCCCCATGGGTTGCAGCGAGGTCGCCTCAGCTCTGTCCTGTGCTTCAGCATCTTGGGTGAAATGCTTATATAAAAGTCTGTATAAAAAACAGATATTCAAAGGACAAATTTTCTTTAAAAACACAACTTGAATGGAAGAGTAAGCAGGATGAGGAGCAGACACAAACTTAGCAGAAATTGTTTGTGGAGTATCCACCCTTCCTGCTCCCCCTACCACCACCACCAAAAAAAATCTCCTTTAGGGAAAGAGGAAGCACAGTGCTCATTGTAGGCCAGGGGCTGCTGACCTGGGCTGTGGTTTGGCACTGCTGTCACCGCCTGTGTCCTATACAGCTGTGTGATGGACGTGCTGCATGTCTCTCTGACCCTGGGTGCAGGATGCTGTCTGTCTCAGAGTGGCTGACATTATTAGGAAATGTAAAGCTTGTTGTTATCACTTCTTGTGCATCCTGAGGGTTCAGGCTTCTAGGAAAGAATACAAACCATCTGTAGCCAGCTTGGGTCCTGCTGCTGTCCCTGCAGCAGCACAGCGAGCGGAGCTGAGCTCAGGCTGTGCCCCTTTGCTGGGCTCCCCCTGCAGAATTTTTCCCCATTTTTTTTCCTATTAGAGCTCACTGTTGCAGGCAGACTCATCTTTGCAGGAAAGCTGAGGCCAGCTGTGCTTGGATGAGTGGGCATCGTCCCATGCCCACAGCTCTGCCTGCTGCCATGCAGGAGCGAGGGCTCCTGTGCAGCCACCAAAAGTGACGTGGCTCCTTCTGCACGAGCCGGATGTGTTCCCCGCAGAGCCTTTTTAAGAAAGTCACTTCTGGAGTTAGAAATCCCCCACTGCCTTGCAGTGCTTGGTTTCCCTCTTGAAATGCTGCCAAGTTGTGCTTCAGCCAAAGAGCAAAGGAAGGGTCTGGTGCTGGAGTGCTGCTAGGGTGAGGCAGCAGCCCCATGCACCCATTCCACTTCTGCTTGTAAAGCCTGTGCAGCTGCGAGGCATGTCTAGTGCACGCATGCTTGTTTGGGAGGCTTTTAAGGCTTCCTTGGTCTCTGCAGCTCAACCTGATCACCCATTGCCGTTGTCACCTTGGCTGCCCTGTGCCACACCCGATGGATTGCTGTCCCCACTGCAACAGTTTGCTGCTTGCAGGTCGTGAGCACAGTGTAGCATGAAGGGTGCAGGTACACACAACAATGTGCACAGATAGCTCTGTGCTGTGCTGTCTTTGGCAGCACTCATTTTCCCAAGGGCTGGAAGCAGCAGCATGCTGCCAAAAAAAGGAGGCAGCAGAGCATGCTTTGTATTGCAGCTTTGCAGCGTCTCCAAGCCTTCCTGTCCATGTTTTGGGTCAGCCCTTATGGCTTTTGGCTTTGAGCAGCCTCAGCTCACTGGGGGGGCAGCTGACACCTGGAGGGCTGTGCACTCCCCTGCCCCACAGCAGCTTGAAGCAGGGCTGGCTAATTGTGCTGCTGCTTGGCATGGGGATGGTGACTGAAGGAGCTGCTGCTGGAAATTACAAGTGCGCTTCCACAGCAATTGGTTGTCAGCCTGATGCACGCTCTGAGTGCTCCGCTCCCCTCCAGCTGCTCTTCTGCCTGTCCCACTTCTGCAGGAGCTCACCTTCAATTTTGGATCACTGCAACATTTCTCGTTAGGTGACTGTGGGGTTTCCCAGGAGTTTTACAGGTATTCCCCGTAGTGCGTCGCACAGCTTTGACATTGCGCTGTCTCCTCCCAGCTCCATGTTGCATCCTACTCCTTTCCCCAAAGGAAAAGCACTGGTTTCAGGCTCAGCCCTCAGGGGTTTAAAAAAAAAAAAAAAAAAGTGTTTGGTTTTTTTTTTGTTTTGTTTTGCTTTAATTTGTTCCGTTTTAAACTGGAAGTGGTTCTTGGAAGCACTGAGTGCATCTCAGGCATTGAGTCAGCACCAGGGCTGAGCCGGATGCTCAGCACCAGCCCCTGTGTGGGGTGTAGCCTTCCTGGGTACTCTGCTGGAAAGGACCAGTGCTGCTGCTTCCCACTGGAGCTTTGGGAATGGTGCAGAGAAAAATCAAATCAAATCTGCCAGAATGGGAGCTGTGCCCTTCCTGCTGGTGGGCACTGGGGCGCCATGGGACAGAGAGGGACATTTTTTGGGAGCGGTGCTCAACTCTGTGATGAGGGAGATAGGAAGAATGGTTGCTGTGAGTTTTGCATGCCTTCTGAGCTCACATTTTGCAGCCCTTACTGATAGGGATTTGATCTCCCCCAGCAGCTGGGGCTGTCGTGGATGGGATGTGGGTGTCTGTCCCTGGGATGGAGAAGCTGTGGAGGGAGGGTGGGAGGTGTTGGGCAGGGATGGAGCAGAGTGCAGTGGTGTGAGCAGTGAGTGCACCCTGCATTGCTCCTTTCTTCCACCTCAGCTGTGTGCATGGATGTAATCAAGGGAGAAGTGGGACTAAAAACAGCAGATGAGACCATCGGGTCTGCAAGGCAGAAATGCATCTGCTGCTGCAGATGGGGTTCAGGTGCAGTGTGATTTCCTGCCCCCCAGTGATGCTGGTGGTGATGGATGGTGCTCCCAGCACAGCTCCTGCAGGGTGCTGCTCCCAGGAGATGCTCTGCAGCTGCTTTGCGCTGGGGTTTTGCACGTATTTGGCTGCACCACTCTTAGTGTGCATGCAGTGTGTCCTGTCTTGCCACAGTGTAAATTCAGCTGAGGGCTGCTTCTGAGCTCCCCTAAGATAGACTGGGCTGTGCTGGTGGGTTTCCATGAGCTGTTGGGGTCTGTGTGCTATGGGATTTCTTGTGGGATATTGGGTTTCAGGCTCTATTGCTAGTCCAGAGCATCCACCCGGTGCCTCTGGCCCCATCACACATCCCTGTGTGAGCAGGGAGATGGGTGGGAGAGGGTCTGGCAGCAGGCTGCTGCTTGAGCTCATTGCTGTTGTTAAGGGTGTGCTCTTCCCCTCATTGAAGCCCAGCAGGGAGCGGTGGGTGAGGTTTTGAGCTTTGATTTCCCAGAGCCCGGCAGTGGGGCGGTGGCCGTAGGCACTGACGCCCAGTGGGGTCAGCTCTGAGGAAATGGCATTTCCCAGCCGTTGTTCTGGGGCTGTGTGAATTCACAGAGCGTCTCCATCCTGTGCTGGAAACAGCATTGTGGAGCAGCTGTGGTGCTGAGGGGGGACATGGCAGTGTTGTCCACCTCAGATAAGGCGCAGTGCCACCCGAGAGCAGCTCTGCATCAGCATCCTCTCTGATGATCTCCCCTTGAAACTGTATCCCAGGAGCAGTTCAGCTCCCAGAAAATACCTCCCACGGTCCTCCTGGGATGCGTATGAGCACTATTTAAGCTCAGAGCTGCTCATGACATTGGTATGTGCCTTCACCTCGACCTCTGACTTTTTTTGTGCCCGCTGTAAGCAGTGCTGGTTTTGGAGGGGGAAAAAGGGAGAGCAGCAATGCTGTGCCATGCTCTGTGCACGTGCATGCAGAGAAGTGGGTGACTTCTCCACCCCTCCCACGCTATCTCCAAGCAAAATCCATGCAGCCGTTTATATTTTGCCAGCAGAGACGCCGTCCCAGTTGTCACCCGGGAATAGCTGCTGGTATTGTCATGGAACAATATTTCCACTATTTGTTGTGGTAATGGTTGTTAGTGGCACAGCAATTAGCACGGCACCTGCAGCACTGAGAAGCCCAGCCTTGTGCTGCCCAGCACCGCTGCTGCGGACACCGAGCGTGGGTGCAAACATTTGCATCCCTCATGACCCACTCTGCATGCAATAATTCTGCACGGGGCTGTGGGATTGCATTGTTTGAGCTCTGTGCTGGGGTGGGCAGGGGCACCATGGGGGTCTTCAGGGAGCAGGATGGAGTGGAGCTCCCTGCAAGAAGGGTGGGCTGGGTTGGGATGCATGGTGCCAGCGCTGCGCTTCAGTGGCTCCCGGAGCTGCTGGACCCCCCCCTTCCTGGTTTCCTGTTGACGTCACCACTATTTCACTGCTGCAGTTTGTACAACTGTTGGAGCTTTCGAGTGTAATCGGAGTGGAGCCACTGCCCTCGGCTCGCAGGGTCCCTGCACTGCAGGCTGCATCCAGCTGTGCAGCCCTACTGCAAGCTAAGCGCCCTGAGCCCGCTGCTCTCCCCACCTCCTCACCCCCTGTTCTCCCCACTGCCGGGTGTGCGCCGTTTCTGTTCTTCATTTCTGGGAAACCATGGACAAGAAGCAAGGTATGTGTTGCAACCTCCGAAAAGCGTGCTGGGGGCGAACGAAGGGCTGGTCCTGGCCCTCAGAAGGGACAGTGCAACTCCTTGAGCTCAATCCGTGCAGATTTCCATCTTTCCGCCAGCTCCGGTGGGGGGTGGGGGTGAGCTCTGCATTTGCAGCCAAGCATATCTATTTTTGCAGCCAGACATCTATTTTTAAAGCTCTGCAAAACCTGCCTTTTTTTCTTGCATGGGGCTGAAACACTGCATCTTCACTGCACAGAGCCAGCAGTGCTCAAGGAAACGCGCAGGGCAGCGCTTGCTCCCAGCAGCCTTGCACGCCTGTTGCAGCAGAGCCAGCACCTTGCTCCCTGCAGGCAGCTCGCTGCTGCCCAGAAGCTTATTCCCTTAGCACTCTTTGTTTGGGGGAGGTTGCATAATTTTTTCTTATTACGTTCTTTATTTTTTTTTTTTTCTTCTGGCTTTCCCTCTGCAGCATTGGGCCCCACCCTTCAGCTCTCCGTGGGTCGAGGGGGGGGTTGGATATGCTCCAACCCCTTTCCCAGCACCAGCACAGCCATGCAGCAGGGCTGGACCTGGAGCCTGGTGCTGGGGAGGTTTGATTTCAAAGGTCGGCTCGGGCAAACAGCCGTATTGACAGTGCTTTGGGTTGTCCTGCTTGCTTCTCTCCACCCACACGGAGTGAGAAAGAGAAACCTGCTGGGGAGAGGTGCGGAGGAACCAGGCTGGAGTTGTGGTGGCTGAGATGAGGGTTTTGGTGATGAATGAATGCGGTTCCAGGAAATGTCTGCTCTTAGCTGGTGGAGACTGCAGTGCAAGGGGGAAAAAGAAAATGCCAGTTTCTTTTTTTTCTTTAGGAGGAAATGGGGACTTTCTTAGCATAGAGGATGTAGTTACGTGCTCGTGGCATCACGTGGTGACAAGTGTGGCCACATTGGGGACTTCTGTCAGCTCGTGTTCCCAGTGCAGAGCTGGGAGCGGCAGGAATGTGTCCCCAGTCTGCTCCATGCACGTGCTGCTGCTTTCAGGCTGTGGAAGTGGCCTCAAGCTGCTGTGAGCAGTGGGTAACACTCACAGGCTCTGTGCTGCACCTTTTCTTCTGCAGAAACCCTGCAGAACAAGAGCATCCCCTTGCTTACAGGCGATGGAGAGTATTCTCCTCATCCCAGCCGTGGGAGGGAGGTGCTGGGAGCTGGCAGCTGCTGTGAAGCGGGGAGCAGCTGCCTGTGGAGTCACTGGGATTGAATTGCAAGGTCGTGCTGTGCCCGTCCCACTGCACAGCGTTCCTCTGGTGGTGGGCATGGAGCTGGGCAGTGGGATGGGGCTGGGGCTGAAGGTATGTGAGTGCTGTGGTGGGTACAGGGAGAGCAGCAAGATGCATCCCTGCTTTGGCTCTCGAGGGTTTGGGAGCAGCATTCCAGAAGGAGAGCAGTGTATTTTATTTTGGTGTGGGCTGATGTGATGTGCTGAGGTGGGTTTTCTAGCCCGTGCTTTGGCAGCTATAGGAAATGCTTTTGGGTGCTGGGTGCAACCACTGGGAAGAGAATGCTGCTGGCCCTGCAAAGTGGTGCTGCAAAGCATAGGGCAGTACTTTGGGGCTGCACAAAGCCCTCCTTGCAGCAAAGTGTGAGCTCTGCCTCATGGGGTGTGACTGATGTACAGAGACATTGTGATCCTCCTGTGTGGTGCAGAGGTTTTGCACAGGGGATCTCCCCATCCTGCACAGAGCCACTCACCCATGCTTGCAGATGCTGTGTGTGTAAGGGTGAGTGCATGGATCCCAACCTTGAGCTCCCTGTAACCCTGATCCGTGGGGCTGATGCTGCAGCCTCTGGCACAGTGTGGATGCTTCTCCCCCTGCGTGAGTCACCGCTGTGCTCTGACCCAGCACTGTCAGGGAGCTGCACAGAAGGAGCATTGTGCTCCTGCTCGGGGTTACTATGGCAATTGGGGAGAGGGAGAGCAAACATACTGCATAATAGCAGCCAGGATGGGGGGCATTTCAGAGCTTGGTGTGAAGGGAGGATGCAGATGGAGGGTGTTCTGTTGGTGCTTCCCAGGGTGTGGGGTGCATCGAGCCAGCAGGACTTGGAGGTGCTTGCTGAGCACAACTTGGGGTTGTTTTGGGGGCATCTAGCAGCTCTGCATACACAGGGTGGTGCATGCATGTTATTGTCTGCATCTTGGGATGGGATTGCGTGCCCTGTGGAGTTCTCCCTCCCACTGGCTGCAGAGGAAGCTGCAGCCCCATGTCCCAGCTCTCTGCCCTTCCCTGGCTGCAGGAAGGGAAGGCACTGCTGAGGCAGAGGGCAGCGTCTTGCATTTGGCTGCATTTTGTGTTTGCACAGCCAGGTATTTTGCAGTGCAGGACTATTTATAGCTCCCTGTCCCATCCCAGCTGGGTATGGAATTGGGAGCAGCCTCATGGAGCAGGTGCTGAGACGCACAAAGGACTTGCAGGGCTCTGGAGCTGGTGCTGCAAACCACAGCAACCCCATATCCCTGTGGGTCAGCACAGCAGGGCTCCAGCTCCTTCCTGTTTCAGTGCAAGGTCTCAACCTGTGCACACTGATCCTAGTGTTGTGACTAGCAGCTCCTGCCCTGTGGTTCCCCTTAGTGTCACATGGAGTGTTCCCTTTCAGGGTCAGAGTTGCCAGTTGCTGTATGTGAGGCTTGTTGGCCTTTGTCCTGATGGCACAGAGCAGGGCTGGCTGCTTCCCTGCCTCCTGCAGCATGCTCACAGGATCTGTCTCTTCCTTGCCCAGCTGGGAGTGTGATGAGAAATGGGTCAGTGCTTCCCAAAATGGGATCTGCTGGGAGCACATTGAGGTGCTGTCATGGCCCTGGGCACAACCAGTGGCATGGGGACATCTGGTGGCTGTGCAGCCCAGGACAGGGTTGGGTGCCAGCTACCCCGTGGCGTGTTCCTCTGCTCCTGTCTGGCACCATAAGGGATGTATGGTTTGTATTGAGTTCTTTGGAGTGTGAGCACTGACCTGATGTCTCCCTGCTCTCTTCCAGATTCCAAGGGATCCCTGGAGCCACACAAACCGGGTGAGTGCCTAGCAGACAGAGCAGTTTCACCCCCTCTCCTAAATGCCAGCGAATCCCCCCCAAAAGAGGAACACTTAATGGCCATGGGGGGTGAAGACTGCTGTGGGGATGGCTGGAAGCGGAGTGTGAGAGTTGCACACCCTGCAGACCTGGGCCTGGTGGCTGCAGTTGTGGGGATGTCGAAAGGAAGGAAAGTTTTAAAAATGCCCATTGCTTATGTGTGCATCTTCTCTTGCAGTGAAGGGCAAGAAGAAGCTGAGGATAACATGTCCTCCCATCAAGCAGCCCCCTGTCAACACCACGTGAGTGCCTGCTCCTGCAGCCAGTTCTAGGAGCTGCAGTGAGCTGTCTCAGGCCATGTGGCCATAGAAGTGTTACCACACACATCAGCTGGTTGGGGTTTTTCAACTGGAGCTCTGGCTTCTCAGTGATGAGGAGGAATTGCACTTGTGCACACGCATAGATTCTGTGTGCCTCTGGGAGCTGTCTGCAGGGCTAGGACCTGCAGCAGGTGCAGGGGTGAAGGTGCTGGGTGCAGCGGAATAGCCCCTGCCCTCAGCTGGTGGCATCCCCTGCCCTGTGCCTTGGCCTACGTGAACCCATGTTGGTGCAAGGAGGATGTGGAAGCCTTGTTGTTCCCCCCTGCTGTGCTTGGGGCTGGTGCCTGCCTGCATTTCAGGCACTGGGATTTCTCTGTGCCCTGTTTTCTGCTGCTTGGTACATTGTTATGCTGTGTTTGGGGGGGCAGAACCAGGGTGGCACTGCTAGGTTTGACAAAAAGCAGATGGCTGAAATTCCTCCTCTGTGATGTATCTCCACCACCAAGCTCTGCTCTGTCCAGAGAACCACAAAGCTCTGAGGGAGCAGCGAATCCCTCACTGGGGGCTCATCCCTGGATCCCCAGGCTGGGCAGGTTGCCTGGAGCCAGGAGCTCCCTGTTAACAGCCCACAGCCTGGTGTGTAGGCAGAGCCCTGCATGCAGAGCTGTCTCCCTCTGTGCCTGAGTTTCCCTGGAGCAGATGTCAGCTGCAGTTTGCAGGGTGCTTGCATGCCCAGAGCATTCCTGTTCACACTGGTTCTAGGCCCCTACCGTTCCTTTTCTCTGCACTTTTCAAGGCACACTGCAAATATTTGCACAGTGCCAATGCTTTTGCTGCAAGCCTGAGCACTTCCTTGAAGGTGCTGCAGCGCTCTGATGGGAATGAAGATGAGGAGCAGACTGCCCAGTTCCCAGCTGATAGTGTCGGAGGAGTTGAACACAGGAGCAGGGCAGAAGGATGAAAAGGACAGTGTGTGCTTTAAATCCCATACTGACAACAGGGGGGAATGGGAAGCTGTGAGGAGGGGAAAAAAATCCATAAAGGAAGACTTTTGCCTACATGGTGTTGTGCAAAGTGTGACGCTGCTGGCTGCTCCGCATGCCAGGCTGCCTGGAACAGGCTGTCAAGTGTACACAAATGACTCAGTGCAGAGGAATTACCTGTTGTTTCCTAGGCGTGTTTGGGGCGACGTGGCTGTGCTCTTACAACACCTGCCTGTCAAAACACGACAGCTGCTCCTCTCCCCGCATGGGGACGGTTTCATAGCTTTGATGCAGCCTCACCTCGCTGCTCCCTGGGCTCCTGCTGGTTCTGTGGGTGGTGGTGGCTCGATGAAAGCCTTTGGGAGTGTTTGGAGGGGGCTGGTGTGCACCCATAACAATGCACTGTGGGAAGCAGTGGCCGAAAGCACCTGGGGGCACATGAAACCTGGCACTGGAGAAGGGGGTTTTGAGGTTGTGCTTCTTTCTGATCCCCTCTCTCCTTGCAGGCCGCCAAGGAACTTGGACTCCAGAACCTTCATCACCATTGGAGACAAAGTATGTGTCAATGTTCTTGTTTCCAATTCTGCTTGCCTCCTGTATGGGAGTAGCATGGATCAGGCTGCCATGACAACTTGTCAGATTGGATCTTTGTGATCCCAAGCAGACTTTAAGCTCCAGTATGTCCTCCTGGTGCAGCCTCATGGGATGCATCTTTGGAGGGGTTGAGGTGTCCTCAAGCAGGGGACCTTCCCCTGTTGGCTGTGGGTTTGTGCAAGTATTGAGATCAGGGAAATAGGCACGTGTGGGTTGAGGCTTTGCCCTTAGTGGGATCGTGCTTGCTTGGCAGCCTTCTCACTTTTACCCAGTCTGGCTGTGCCCTGCTGTCCCAGCCCACGTCCCCTTTGTCCCTGTTGCTGCTGGCATCCCACCAGAAGCTGGGCTCAGAGTTCCTCTCCAAATCCTTTCCAAGCTGCCTGATGAAAAACGCTGCTAGAAATAGCTGCCGCCTCCTTTTTATTTAATTCTCTTGTTACAGGCTCTCCTGGGGCTGCAAACAACCTAAAAATACGGGGTGTTGGGTCAGTCCCATCCTTGGTGCAAGGTTTTAGGTTTTGAGGGGAGAGAAGCAGCCTGGGCTGGGTGCAGGGAGCAGCCCTGCTGCTGGTGTTGTGTTCTAGCTGTTGTCGTGTGTATTAGTGGCTTGGGGAGAGTGCACAGAGTGTGCAATGGGAGAGCTGCAGTTCTGCGGGCTGTGCCCTTCCTGCAGTGCAGTTCTGAGGGGTTCTGCATCTGTGCTCTGCCTGCCCTGAGATGTGCAGCTCAGGTTTGCTCTGGGTGCTTCAGAACAACGCAACGTGGGATGGAGGAGTGGTGGGTGCAAGGGCAGCTTCGGGTTGTGAGATGAAGGGTGATTGATCCATGCAGAGTAAAGGGTAACGGGGTGCAGTGTGGGGTTCTGTTCTGTTGGTTCTTTGTCTCTGCAGCTGGGCAGGGCCATGATGGTTCCCAGAGTGTGCTGGGAACTGCCAGTGTCTGGGGAAGCCTGCAGGTAAATGCCGGAAACAAAAACACAATGCCCTGGAACAGTCATAGAACATATGTCCTGAAAAGCACCACTGGGTCCTTCCTGGAGGCTCCTGCAGGAGCTGTAAACCTGCACTGTGCCTCTGCCCAGGGCAGTGAGGTGGGGGCTGCATGAGTCCCATAGTCCCATTGGATCCACTTCCCTGTGCCATGCAGCATAGCTTCCTGCTGAGCTCAGCCCCAGACCTCCCTCAGCTGCCCACCATTCCCATCTGGCCCAAATTAGTGGGGCTGGTGGTTAGCATGGCCACCAGCCTGGTAGCCCTGACTCCCAGCACGCTGCTGCCCTTCTGCTCTGGGTGCAACACTGCTTCTAATGCTGTGCAGTGCTTTTCCCACCCTTTGCTGCTGCAGGGTCAGTTTGGCATCCCGGTGTTATTTTTGTTCCCTGGGACCGGAGGGAAGCTGCAGGCTGGATGAAGTCCTGCCTGGTTGAAAGGAGGTCTGTAACTTATTAAGAGCGATGAATGCAGCCTCCAAAAATAGCCCATGTCTCACTCCAGCAGTGTATGCCCTGCCCAGCAGAGCAGACAATTACAGGGCAACGTGTGCTGGGGGGAACTTGTCTGTGGGATGTGCAGAAACTCACTGGCAGAGAGGCACTGAGCCTTGGGCCTCTTCCAGTGACATTGTGCCCTTTGGCAAATCCCAATCTCTAGCTTAAAAGGGGTATTCAGTGAGCCCCAAGGGAGCCAAAAGTACATCCATCTGCTCTAAGCATGGTGGGCTGCTGGAATCCTGTAGGTGCTGGGGTTTAGGCATGCTCTGTGTGGCTGAAGTGCAAGCAGTGAACTTTGCCTTTACAGTAAGTGTGCTCCTGCCTGAT